ATGGAGTATCCAGTCTTGCTGGCATTTGGTAATACTTAGCAAGTGACTAGTGACAGCTGCTTTTATCACAAGGATTCCTTACTTAGCATTCTCTCAAGATGATGATCCATCCACCTTAACATGAGGGCCGTAAGCAGGGAAGAAAGCCATCAGAAAAGAAAGCAAAACAAGGTCTCAGGTCCCAACTCTGCTCCTCCAGACACAGTGGGGGTAAGGGTTATTGAAATGAACCCAGGTCCACATGAGATTAGATATAGCATATAGCTTGTTTTGCTCAGAATGTGCCAGAGTGTTTCAGAGGACAGTTTGAGAGGTTGGGGACAAAAGTCAGGTTAGATCTCCTTAATCTTCTTTATAATTCAAGCCATTTCCCATACCTCCACTCAACCCCCAACCCTTAAGGTTGATGGTCCCTATGTTGGTACCCTGGGCACTGACAGGGACTGGGGAGGGTTAACCCTACTAAGAGCAGAAACCTCTGGCATTGTAGGCCCACAGAGGATACAGCCGGCCTGGACTTGGGTTTTTTCCTTGGCATGTCCCCAAGAACAGCTGTCATGAAGGTAGCCCACTTGGTGCCCTGGAATGGGTGGAAGGATTCCTACAACCTGACTCCTGCTGTCCTAGGCCGGATCACAGGGTCCTGGCCAGGGGAGGGCATTCCTGTTTGCTGAGCTGATTGCTCTCCATCTCATGGCAGGGGTATGTTCCCACCATGGGGCCTGACCTCACTCTAGCCACACCCTGGCTTCCAGAAACCTTCTTCCTAGGGAGAATGGTAGGTGCTGGGAAGAGGGAGGGACCAGGTTGGAATGAGCAGAATTGCTAGCACCTAATGCAAGGCCTGGGTCACTACTGCTTATTTCATCCTGCCAGCAGAGTGCCCTTGGTCAGGATAGCTTCTGCAGACTTGGTTTTCCCATTTGCAAAGCTGATTACAAGAAGAATCCAGCTCATTATTAGTAACTTTAAAAACTATTATTAGGAGAGGGAAACATGAATTTCCTCTCTAGCCCCTGTATAACTCCTTTAGTCATGTTCCCTTTTTCTGCTACCTCGGTGAGGACTTTTCTTATTCAGCAATAGGAGCACTAGCGCCCTCCCCCCCCCCCCCATCTCTAGCAGTCAAGGTAAACGCTGCCAGGGGGGCTACAGAACGGGCAAAGGCCCAAGGGATGTGTGCCAGGTCACATCCCCAGCCTTCCCCAACTGGACACATGCCATTGGTGGCTTTTTCCAAACTGCCTTTCCAGCCAGTGGCCCTTTCCTCTCACCTGCCAGGACCTGTATTTCTATTTCTGTTTTGAAAGCCTCAGGGAAGTGGATCAGAATAATTAATGATTGATTCTCAAGCACAGCCACCAGGAGGCCCCAGGGCAGGCTGCTGGCCATTTCCCCAAAGTGTGAGGACAGAGTAGAAATCCCATGAGGCCATGGCAGGATTGGACTTGTTCCTGGGGGAGCAAGCCGTGAGAAGACACCAGGTGCTCAGTGCATGTCTACTCTTTGCAAAGCAAATCCACGAAGTTTGCAGACTGAAAGAGGTCACAGCACTGGCCCTCTGTGTCTGCCAGGACCTCTGCTTCCTTTCTTTTAGGTCAAAGGACATCTGCAGTTCCTCTCACAGTAGCCCCCACCTCCCCATAGCTCTGCAAGTGCAAGCAAGCGCATGCTCACTGGCCCCTTTATCTTGAGGTTCTCACTCAGGAGGCTTTTGAAAAACTCATCCTGTTTTGGGGAAGGGATTAAAGGAACCGATGTCTACTGAAAAATGCTAGAGAAGTTTTAACTCTGCCCTTCTTGGGCGTATTGCCTCTGCCTTTGTTGTCTAACAATAATTAACTTTTGTACCTAGCTGGTTTTCAAAGGGCTTTCACATTTGTAAATCTATTCATCCTTGAGGTAGGCCTACCCTTTCTCTCTACCCCACTGCATCTCACATCCCACAGAAAAAGAAAATGAGGCTCGAAGGGAAGGAATGGACCCATTCCACACAATCTGGTCTGGGACACTCACCTTCTAACTCAGAGTGAAGTGTTCTCTTATCCATAAAGGATGTATTTTGGTCCAGAAATGGTCATTAAATAGGGGGAGATAGGCTATTATGGTGGGGGGAGTCTTATGCCAAGCCTGTCCTCTAGGAAGACTGCAGACTGCACAGGGAAACTTCTGTGCCTGCATGTCAAAGAGGAAGATGAAGTTCTGGGCCTCTTTTGCTGTGGTACTTGGAGTACCATTACAAGTTTGCGGGAGAAAGTACAAGGGTGGGTCATCTAAACTAGCAGGCACCAGGATTCCACCTGTGTTATCAAACACACATACTCATCCAATAGTCAGCTGAAACCTGGACTACTTACAACAGACCAAACCACCCAGCTCTAATCAGCTGGTATGACCAACTTGACCTGGTTTGCCAGGGGCAGCTCTGGTTTAGTCCTCGCATCCAGGGGCACCCAGAAAGTTCATTCTATTCCTAGCAGTGCCATGCTGCCAAAAGACTACCTTTTGAAAGCTCACCAGACCAATGTTGCATAAAAGTCCCAGAATATTATATAAACTCGAAAAGTTACCAACTGTTGCATAGGATTGTCACCATCACCAGGTATGGATGGGAGGTTAAGCCTAAGAATATTTATTTCCACAAATACTGAAATATGTGGTCAGAGTTTTCAAAGTCAACCAGCATTATTTATGATTGGCAACAAATTAAATTTTCTTGGAAAAACAGAGTGTAAAACTTGTAATTGAAGGAGAGAGAGAGAGAGAGAGAGAGAGAGAGAGAGAGAGAGAGAGAGAGCTGGGTGGTTGTGGTGCACACCTTTAATCCCAGAAGGCAGAGATAGGTGGACCTCTGAGTTTGAGGGAGCTTGATCTACAGAGAGCTCCAGAACAACCAGGGCTACACAGACAAACACTGTCCCAAAACACCAAAACCCAAACCAAAAACTTGGTTGCTGGTTAACAGTCCTGGGAGAAAAGCTTTATATGCACCAAACTGAAGAATGGGGGGGGGGGTTGTATTCTGAAATTCTTAACTAAAGTCAAAGAGAGGGTTGGAACCTAAAAACCTGAAGAAAAAGTTTTAGTAAATACATGTCTTTTAACATTTTTATTTTCCAAAAGAGCAAACTGAGACCAGAGAAGCTTTGTCCAGGTACCTGGATACTGCTTAATGACATTTCTTCTGTCTAGATTGCAGGAAATCAGTAATTAGAAGGCAAGGCATGGTGTTCTTACTTCTGGTTGGTTCTAGAAGATCAACCCTGCTTAGTGTCCTCCTGGCCATCTATGTCACCTGCAGCCTGAAGCAGGGGTGCCCTTGAGGCATGTGGGCCTGTTTATCCTTGATAAGTAGCTAAGTGCAGGTGAACATAACATTCTCATATTAGATTATTGCAATAACTTGCTGTTGGCCTAAACATGGGAGAAAAGACGACTATCTTGCTGGTCAGTGAAAAGAGTATTGGCCAGAATAGATGAATTAGTTTTAATGGTTATTAGACCTTTGGATTGGGTGGAACTTCTTAGGCTTTTCAAAACTGTGTGGGCAAGGCTTCTCAGACAGCCTGGAGTACTGCCTCTTGTGGAGAGGGGGCAGATCTGATCTCTGCTACGGCCTGTTCACCCCACAGCTTCCCCCAGTGAAAGAGTAGGAGCAGAGCTGCAAAATAGCACATGGGGTCCTTAGGTGCCATGCCAAGTATATATGGTCAAGTAAGATTACTTGAACCTTCCAAAACTATGGAGCAGCCTTAAATAACAACACAGGAGCATTTAAAACGGTGGTACTCAGGATGCTGTCATTTAGAGCCCTTTAACGATCATTTACAGACACACATTCTCTTTCTTTTCACAGAATGGCTAAGTTTCTCCTAAACTGAGATGTGAGAAAGGATAGGGGGGTTGTGAAATAACTGTTTTTTTTCTAATTGAGAAAGTAGTCTTCATACATAGGTTCATGCAACAACACATCTCCGTGGACACCCTAGTGTCCTCTCCCCCTCTCCTGGCTTCCTCCTCATTCCAGCACTTTATTCTACCCCTCAAGGCAGAACAGTCCCTCCTGACCCACAGGGCTGTCCTCTCAGCTGTAATCCTAAATCCAGAGATCTAGTCTAAGATTGCTGGTGGGTAGAGGGGGGCATGATTCATTGGCCTGTAGGTTCTTCAGAACATTTGCTCCCACAGGCTCACAATGTCCCCTTGAGTAGTGATTCAGTATCAAAGCGAGTAACTATGAGGATGGAAGTGGCAGCCATTGCCACAACTAAGGGCATCTTACCCCTTCCCAAAGGATTCCTTTACATCACAGAAGCCATTGGCTCCTGTATCATTGCCACAGATCAGCTCAAACCTTTCCTTTTTGAAGGCACAGGATAAGGTGAAATCTAAGCTCTGATGGCTTCCTTTAAACTCTTCTCCCACGTGCTCAAGTCCAAAGAATGAAAGAGACAGCCAATGGCTGTGCATGGTGGAGCAGAGAAGAAAGTGCTTTAGTAGTAACCATTTTCCTTAACATAGTAGTGGATATGTCTCTATGGCCCAGAAAAAAATGGTTTGATATTGATCAGGCATCTGCTCTAGAGAGGGCCACATCAGCAAGTAAGGACATCTTGCATGAGTGGGCTTCTACTCAAAGACCCATGTCCTCACACCGAAGTTCTCACCCACAAAGAAAAAGGCTGCTTCCCCGTGATCAGGGGCAGAGGAGGGTTGGAGGGTGTCACAGAGCAACCTTGAGTTCACTCTGGTGGTCAATGACCCTAAGAGTTTCCAGAGAACCACATCCCCAGGCCCAGAGGCTTTCATCTTCCACTCCCCCAGTATTTCCTGGCCTGCTGAGTTAGGACTCAGCCGCCCTCTCTTCCCTCCGCTGGAAACAGAAGCTCCAGCAAATGTTTCTAACTCCTGAGTCCACTCAGCCATGTCCCCCTTGCAAAATCCTCCCCTTCCCTCACCCCCCTGCACCCAGCCAGCCAATCCGCAGCCTGAGAGCCTCGCCAGACACATCTCCCAGGGCCTCGGCGGGATAAAACTGGTTGGCGATGCCAGGTGGATGGGAGCAAACTTCAGAAGGAAGAAGAGACGCCTGGGCCCTGGGCACCCTCAGGGGCAGACCCAGGCAGAGAGGGCCTGAGGCCAGCCGGCCAGGTATGTTGCCTAGGGGCTAGAAGAGAACTGGTTGGGAAACAGCTGGCCTGTGAGAGAGGAAAGGGTCCCAAGAAGACTAGCCCTTCCCCTCTCAAGTTACGTGGGATAGGGCAGGGGTAATAAAGGGATAGGGTACCTGGCTGGAGTTTGGGGCTTCCTGGGTACACTCCTAACCCAGCAAGCACATTCGCTAGGCCAGGATGAGGTTGGCCTCACTTCACCTCCCAAAATCCCCTACTCTTGGCACTCAATGAGAATCAAAAGACCTGGCTTGGGGAGGGGGTATGAGGTTGGGGCCTCAAGTCTCATGCCCTTTGCCCTGGGTTTATGTAGGGTAGCAGCGTGGCAGCTGGCGCCGCCAGGACCTGCGTAAGAAAGCCGCGAGTGTTCTGCAGGCTGCGAGCGACTCCCCGGCGATGCCTCACAACTCGATCAGATCCGGTAAGGACCGCGGAGGGGTCAGGACCCCCAGCCCTCAGGCCGCTGCGCGTCGGTGTGTGCGCTTGGGCGGGTAGGGCGAGAGAACTCATGCTACAGGCTGGTGGGACCCACCTGTGTGGGGGACACAGCTGGAGGCGCTTTGGGCCTGGCTCTCCACTGCCTTGCTGGTCTCCAGTTTTTGGGTCTCCCTCTGCTGAAGCTGTCCTTCCCGGCCTTGGTTTCTGAGAACCACAGGAAGCAGTGAGGAGTTATCTGTGGGGTCTCAAAGGTTTCCTTTGCACCCCCAACCATCATACACAGCCAGTGGGACAGGGTGGACATCCTGCACGCTCTCAGGCCTTAGGCCGAGCAGATTCTAGATTTGCGGCGACCCCTAATCCTTGGTCTTTGGGGGCATACAGTTCTTCCCAAGACTCTCCTAGGGCGCCGTGATCCCACCCCTCCCACCCCCGCCTCATGTCTCATCCTACGGAAAAAGGAGTCTGGGGACTGGGGGTCTGGGAACGGTGGCGCACTAAAGTCTTCTGGATGCCTTCCTACCTGGCTTGAGCCAGGCAGGGACTCAACGTTCAGGGCTTCCATTGGCACAGACAGACTGCGCCCGCCGCCAAAAGACCCCAATTTTCCTCCCCACCTGAGCCCCAGCCCAGGGCCTTCAAAAGCTCCCAAGATCCGTGCAGCTGTGCCTGATCCGCCCGCTCGGGCCAGGGCCAGGGTATATTCGGGGAAGGACCCCTAGGGTCCAGGCTGGCGAGCGTGGTGGACGACCACCCAGTCGCACCGCCTGTGAGGACAGCTGGCGGAGGCGCGACTCGGCCGGCCGGCGGTGATGGATGGAGCCTGGTCGGGAGCGAGGAAAGCGATTTATGGGGCCAGGGCGCATCGCGATCGATTTGGGCCGGCCAAGTGAGAGGAAATCAATATTTCAGATGAATTCTACTCGAATATGAAGTCGCGCTCAGCAAACGGGACATTTGTTATAATAAGGAGGGTCGGATCCCGCGCGCCGCGCGGCTGAGATCTTTATTTAGCTGCCTTAGCTGCCAGGGTCAGACCGTGCAGTCTCGGCTGGGATGGTCCAGACCTTGCTGGAAGGGATACCGCCAAACCCTTAGGGCTTAGAAAGGTTTCCTAACCCCGTTCGTTGTGAAGCAGCAGAGGAGAGAGCCGGATGCTCACTCCCCATCCCCGCCCGACTCCCAAAGTGAGACCCCAGCGATCTTAGCTGCCCTGGTCGACCTGGGGCAGCTTCAGGGACTGCGGCTTGGAGAACTCCCTTCGTTGCCCTGGCGCCACCAGTGCAGCTGCCAGGCACCCCTGATCCGGCTGCTCCCAGAGATCTAGAGAGCCCAGGTGCCTCTTTCTAAGGTCAGGGCAAGATTTTAGTCCCTGAGTCTTTTTAGTCAAACTAGCGAACGATAGTGGACATCGCCTCCGCGCCAGGAGCTTGGTTGTTTTCCTGGCCTAGCCGGTCTGGGGTCTGGTTGCAGCTAACCTCTCTGGCTAGGCTTTTGGTGTTTCGGGTTTACTCCCTTCGACCTCCTCCTGACCTTTCCGGTGGTGACAAGAGTGGGCACTCACAGACCTAGAATTTACGAGGATAAGCGAGACTCTTCTCAAACGCTGCTTTAAGAAATAAGGGTTTCAGAATTTTTCCGGATTGGCTTATTTTCGTTCTAAAAACACTCCTTAGAATAAGTGAAAATAAAAGACGAAAAGACAAAGGCACATTCTCGATCAACGACTGCCCCAGTTGCTGAAAGAAAGGCATTTTTCCTATCAACTCAGTTGTAGATCGCCCTTGGGTGGGAGTGTTTCCCGTCTGTCTCCCTCCACACCAGCTCCACACCAGGTAGTTTTCTGACGGAGAAGGCCGAAAGAGCCTCTTATTCTCTCTCCTCCAAACAAAAGAAGAAATAAACTGGGTAAGGAGGGGAAGAGGGACTTTGTCCATCCATATACCACGATTTTTAAAAGGAAGAAAAATGCCCAAAGGAACCCCAATAGTTCAAGTCTGTCCTGCATTTCTCTCCTGATCTCCGTGTAGGCAAAGCTAAGCCAGAGTTACTCTGCTTTTCTGATCATTTATTTGACATCATATTCCTTATTTAGAGAGGAATTCCAAACTGACCCTTCTTATTTCCTTTGAAAAGCCCATTCTTCGGGTTAAGCGGCTAGTCCACAAATCTGCTGGCACCTCAATTTCTGTCTGCTGCTGTGGAATCTGCGGGTATAAATTTCTGTGGAACAGACTTCAGAGCTCAAGGGTCTCTCGGGTTTTTGCCAGAGCCAGGCCAAACTAGGCTCCCCTGGTCCAGCCATCCTAGCTACCCAAGTAAAGTTTCTGCCGCGCTGGCACTCAGATTGAGGAGGGTCACCCTTCAACTTCCACTCATCCCAGGCGAATCTATACTTGCAGAAAGGTCTTAGCATCCCTACAGCTTTATTCTCAAGGATAGTTCGTACTGTGAGTTTATTATTTTGACATCTGTAAGTCAGCGTTGGGCTGAATGCTCCGTAAATCTGCAGGATTTTTTTTTTTTTTTTTTTTTGTTGTTGTTGTTGTAGCGGGGGACAAAATTCTCTAAAAGCAGAAGCGTAAAAAAAAAAAAAAATTTTTTTTTTTGAAAGATGAGTGAGAAATGAACAGCGGCACTTAAATACTAAAATTTAAATAGTACTGTTTCCATGGAAAAGAGAGTTTGGTTAAAAAGCAAGCAAATTGTCATTAAAAGTAATATTCAAAAAAACTTGTGGAGAAACTGTCCCCTCAGTCCGTCCCGAAAACACATCATTCTAGTGGCAGATGAGAAGATCAAGGCACCCAAAGCCGGGTGCCTCCTGGGGAAAAGGTGGAAAAGACTCAACTGGAATGCATCCGTTTCTTTCCAGGTTTCTTGCCTGGCTTGAGCAGAAAAGAAAAAAAAAAAAAAAAAAAAAAAAAAAGGTTTTCTTGAGAGGTGAACCCGTGTCTAGGAACATAAAGAGGTACTGGGGTTCTTCAATTCATCAATTCATCTTTGTTTTAGGATGGTCTAGCTTCCCACCCTCTGCAAGTTAATTAGGAGATAATTTAGTTGCCTTGTGAATTAGTTTTAAGATAAGTATCTTTTCAAGCGTTGTCACTTTAATTGCCCCACTGATTGATAAGAAGTAATTATTTCTAATTGACACTTTTTTGATGTCTATTGGACGCATTTATTTGAGACCTTTTTGGAGTAAAAGGAAAGTTAATTAATTTTTATCAACCTATACCTAAAAGGACTTTGTCATTTTTTTTTTTTTTCTGAGCAGGACAAAGGACAGGAAGGAAACAAATAAAAATCGAAACCATGGAATTTTAATTATTAAGAATCATTTTGGTTCAAGAGAGATCATCTATTAATATAATGAAACAAAACATTTTATGACAGCCTCAAGTCTCCTATTGCAATGAGGGTAACTATTATGGGCATACATTTTTCATGGAGGTACTTATTAGTAGCCCTTTGTGTACCTACTTCATTTTGGATCAGGTTTCCTCTGCTTTTTTTTTTTTTTTTTTTTTTTTTTTTTTTTTTGTGAAATCAATGAAACTAGGAATGCTTAGAACAGATAAAATCAGTTTTTGTTAAGAGCTAATTGTGAGTATGATTTACTAACAGTCATCTTTACTCTCTGTAATTATTGATGGAGTTGGGTGTAAAGGTGAAACTTTACTTATGGTGGATGACATGCTGTCTCATACTAAACCTTGGAGTAAACAGTTTAATCATTGACCTCCAGCACATTGTACTGCGAGAGAGAAAAAGACAGAAAAGAATAAAGAAAAAGAAAAGAAAGTGAAAAGAGGAAGGGGATGGAGGAGAGGGAGGGAAGGAGATGGCTGGAAGTGATGGCAGTAGACCATTTACTTAGGGAAGAAGGTGGACCCTGTGCAGGTGACCAGGATCTTTGATTTAAAAATAATAAATTAAAATCCTAATTTCAGAACTCATTCTTTTGAACATACATTCTCTACTATAGTCCCAGAGACATCTGTAAACATCACCTCAAGCTCTCTATTCAATATTTAAAAAGAGGCAAACTCCTGGGCAGCCAACTGGTTACAACACTGGGCATCTAGCTACCAGTGTTTTGATTTGAAAATCTATGAAGAGAACCCCCCCCCCAAAAATGTACATTGTGTTCTAGGAACATACACAAAGATATGGGTGCTGTTTTTATTTGTTCTGAAAGCCCCGTCTCTGGTCTCTGTCTGAATATCCATGTTTCTCATAGACAGACTTGTGACTTATTGATATATGAAGATACTCCTGAATTAACCGCTCTCTCTCCGTCTCTCCCTCCCTCCTTCCCAGCACACCACACACACACACACACACACACACACACACACACACACACAGTTGTGCACCTCAAGAAGAGAGAAATATAATCATGCAAAATACACTCATGTCAGGTTAATTTCAGCCTGTGTCTTTTTCAATCATTTATGCAAAAAATAAAATCTTGTCTGCTTTTAATTCTGTTTCTCCAAGATTATGTGGAGCAGCAAGAATGAGGAAACATTTCAAATGAAAATGAAATTTAAGACGTACAAACAGCAGATAATATCACATACCAACCTCACTATTAGTGAAACTGGAAAAATATATAAATAATGCAAAAAAAATCAGCAAGGGAGAGTTTAGTAATGGAAAATTCCCCCGCAATTAAATGAAACAGTAATTTAGTGGAGATATGCCTGAATGAATTAGCATTTATTAATTGGCTTTCATAAAAACAATGTGTGTGTGGGTGCATGCGTGCGCGCGCGCGCGCGCGCACACACATGCACACACACACAAGGGTAGTGTAGAAATTATAGATCCCCTGCAGGAAAAGTTGCTCAAATGTTCAGATCAAATTATGCCCTTATCAAATTCTCTCTCTTTTTGTGTGTGTGAAAAATTCCAGTTCCTTCACAGGCAAGTTTCACCTGCACATAAAGAATTTGCAGTAAGGAGAAACCTTCTAGA